TCCTAGTTTTTGAGACCTCATCTGGAGAGCCAATTTGGTAACTCCACACCTGCATTTGCTCTTTGCTCATTCAACTTTGCAGCAGATGAAGATGAAACCCAGCCTAAAAGACCCATTCCTCAGCCCATCCCAAAATACTGCCCTTTACAGCTTTGCTGTAGTTGTAACACCATAACTGTCTGGCACTACAAACTGTTTAATACTGGAGCTCTGTAGGAAAACTTTAACAGCGGACAGTTGACCACATTTCATTCAGAAGCGCCTCTTTGACACAGAGAATGAGCGTGGCTTATCATAAAATACAGAGGTCTACTAAAGCCTGCTCAAGGAATCACTAAAACAACCTCACAGCAACTGGGTTGAAGTGTTGAATTTTTCCAAGTTTCAAGCAAAAGCAAATCACTTTCACACCACGTGCCCTAGTTAGCCATACATTCAGCAGCCTGCCCAACTAGCACAGAGTTAATAAATATTAATTTGAAGAAATGTGCAGGCTGATACATTTGGCAGATTTTCATTCCAGCACTTAACATCACTTACCAAATGACAGATAACTTTCCAAATGTAACTGAATGCAGAACAAGGCCAGGGTATGACACTGATGATCCTACCACAATAAATTGTAAAATTCACTCAGAGAATGTAAGAGGACCTTTGCACCAGCACAAGGATATGATATGTGCCCACATAAGTATCTGCCATGAAAAGAAAAATCAGTGCTGTGCACCACTAGTTTAATAGGTGTTTGCCACACGCTCAGTAGCAAAATCCCCCAGTCTTTATTTAAGCAAATCCTCTGTTGACTTAATTGACAGTTTTCCTGCAGTAAGGATTTTAGAATTTGGATCTTAATCTGTTTAAACAGAGATGGCATAGACTCATGTAACTCTTAGGTTTTGTTTTACAATGTCACTATTAAGTCACTACTACACAAGTAAAACATTTTTAGGGCAACCAATAAAGTAGAACAGTTTTTATAAAAACATACCTGATCTACTACTGATGTTAGCGCAGCATCAATAACGGTCTGACCCTTCTTTATTGCTTTCACATAATGATAGGATCCATTCAGAGATGACTTCAGTACCTCAAAATATTCTTTGGACAGCTCTGTATTAATTCTGATATTCTAAAATCAGAACATGAAATAAGAGATTGCCACAGGTAACTGACATTAATACTGTACAGCCATAAACATACTAGCAACAAATCAATGAGAACACAGTTCAAAGAACCTTCTCTGAAACTCACTAAGACCTTTTCCCTATGAAAGTTTCAGACTTTGCACAAGATTGCATCTTTTAGACACAGCACTAACTCCATAGAAAAGATTTACTTTTTAAATTATCAGCGACGTGTAATTTAACATGAAAAGTACCAATATTTATACCATTAAATAATTCATGTTTTACAATATTTTCTTAAATTCTGTCATTCTTAAGCACAAAAGGGGAAGAACATATAAATATACTGCCCCGATAGCACATTTTTTCTGAGTTCCAGCTGAAACTCAGATCTATAGCTCAGAAAGCAAGTAAATTCAAATAAAGTAACACTCACAGAAACTGTATTCTGAAAAGCAATAATTTAATAAAATTTTTCTGCTTGCAAATCAACTATTACATCAGCAATGTATATTTGGTACCTAGTACCCAGAAACTCATCTTATTTAGCTACCAAACAGTGAAGTGTTTCAGTGCTAGCTTATCATCTAAGCTTTTCCCATAATCAACTGAAAGGAAGCAGGTAGCTCCCCAAGAGCATTACAAGTCTACCTTACACTCATGCTGTAATAAGAACTGCCTCTAGATGTGACAATATTATATTTGGGGGGGACTGATGAAATGAAGTGCCACATCAGTACGGCTCTCCAGCAGTTACACGGATTTGCAATTTCCAGTGCAATGCCTGTGCTATGTTTGAAGTGCACTGTCCAACTTACTCCAGTTTTTATTCTACAGCACTTAGACTCCAATGGGCACCTCCACATGAATCACTCAGAGTGCTTTATTAAAAAACCCCAAAACCAAAATAAAAAGTCACAACAAAATAAAGGGAAAAAAGAAAAGGCAAGAAACACCACCATCTGAAATGTCCTAATTCAATGTAAATAAGAAACTGCTCAATTAATTTCAAAGAAAGCAAGCCAGGATTTAGACAGACACTCAGAAGTATATCAACATTTTACTTACATCAGATAAATACACCTTATTGCTCGATTTATCATAGACTTCAATTGTAATTTCATAAAGTCTGCCTGTTTCTAGGACCCATGTGTCACCTGGATGAACTGTAAATCCTACAAAACAGGAAATATTGAACAGCACAAATCAACAGTGGATACAAGCATTTTACTCCTGGTTCTCACTCTGAAAATGCACCTTCATTGTTGCTGAATACAGAGATGAAACAAAGTAAGTAAATTTTTACTACTAAACCTATTTCACATTGAGCTACTTCTATGAAGAAAATTACTTCACTATGAAAATTAATACCAGAAATGGAAGTGTGTATATATACACGAACACCAACACAAAAATGAGGCAAGAGATTATATTAAAACTGCAGCCAATACCAACCTAAATACCCAGGATTTACAACATAGATAGTGCTGTTTGGTAGCCTGGAAACCCCTTGCATGCGAATACCTGAGGTTTCAGTAAAGGAATAAAAAAGTTTTGACAGAAGTCAAGCAAAGATCAGCTTGTTCCTGAGGCTCCTTGTGCCTCTTTGGATATTTAAAGCTAACTATACACTGAAAATAAATGTTATCCCCACTATCCTGAAAGACAGTGAGCATTTCAGAGATTCCATCAGAGAATACAATGCTCTAAATACAAAAATAAAATAAAGCTCCATCACATTTATACATTGACTGAGGGGAGCAGACATGATTTAATTAATCTTTTGGCAACCTAATTCCTTAGAACATTTCAAGGCATCAGGCAGCTCTGTTGAGACTGAATTCACAGCAGTGCTGCTTTCTATGGCTCCATCAGGTGCTCCTGATTTTCAAGACTACTGGTACAAATATGGGTAATTTTATCTTTCTGTCCTGCAAAGGGTGGAAAGTTTGTCCCCTGCCATGAAGATGTGGATGGAAAAGCATCACTTCGGAAGGATACTCTTGTGGCCCAGTATGAGGTTAGCCTGTCCCTGCTGCAGCGCAGTTACAACTGATGTTGCCTGGTCCAGCTTGGCAACTGCCCAAGACGCATCTCCTGCAGGACCGAGCACGTTGTTCTGGAGCTGCAGTTCGTACTGATCAGACGGCATCGTTAGTTCTGTGCGGGAAACAAGACAACATAGGAAACAATAAAAGCAAACATGTCAGTGCTTGGATGCTGCTAATTATTGCTGATTAATTTTTATTGATGCCTAGTGTACACATTAAATCAGTAATTTTAGTGTCTTGTAGAAAGAGCACTTCTATGATTATATCAACACACAAAATAAGCTTCTTGCCTGACTTTAATTCCTTTGAAGACCTAACATCCAAATCATTCCCAGCTTTAGAAGTGGTCAAATTACCGTCTACGAGTTTTGCTGATCCATTCTGCACTACTAACTGATGTAGTGAGCCTAGTTTACTCATCAAGAAAACACCGTCTGTTAGAAAAACTGCTAAGCTAAATTTGATTTAATTAAGAGAGTCAGATATAGTTTCTTAGTCATTGTGAAATAAGTGAGTTCCTCTAAAATGCTAGCATTAGCTCCTATTCTAAGTTATCCTTACCATCACGTCCTTGACAAATCTGTAAGCTTATAACCTTTACAGACACAATTTTTATGGGAGAAAAAACTAAACAGCTGTATCATCACATAGATTAGGAAAACAATTTCAAATATTAACACCGCAATGTAAACACAATTAAAAATTTCTCAGTTAAAAAAAAATAAAGAGGCAAATAAAACCAAACAACTCAAGCAGGACAAACCTGTAATCTTCCCTTGCCTTATTTTCTGAACTCTGTACTGAATTGATGTTCCTACCAGAAGGTAAATGTCACATGCTGGATTTAAAAGGATGTTTTCCAAAATAAGCAATCTGACTTCTGCAGGATGTACATGCTATTGATCAAGGGGGAAAAAAAAGAAAAAGCAACCACATTTAAAGCAATTCATTTACTTGAAACAGATCATGCAGCAATAATTTATGATCTATAAGTGAAAACTATTACTTGCTGTAATTGGCTCTTTATTATAATCTCAAATTTTGTCACAGCAGAAAAATGCAAAGGGCAATGAATGGTAAACAGATCTGCTCTGGGCATACTGTGCAAGGCTGAAGGAAAAACAAAATCAAGTCTGTATGGACATCATTTTGGTTCCATTTTCTGGAGAACACAGAAGAACTTGTGACAGATGCACAGTGACTTTTCAGATATCTAGAAACTTGTCTTCCCTACTGTAAAACATGGTACCTCCATACAACATATCCTTTATAACTCTGTATCAAACTCACAGGTCTATTAAATTAGGAATACAACAGATAATTGTATAAATTATACTATGGTTGTTTAAGTGATGTTCACTGAAAATGTCTTGCAGCAGTGAAAGGAGCTACTAACCAGAAAGTCATAAAAAATTGCAAAGGGAACAATATTATTTCAATTTCACTTACAGAATCAGCTCAAAACTAATTTGGAAAAATAAGTATTAAAACAGAAAACTAAGCAAGCTACAAGCAACCAAGAAAAAAAAAAAGTCAGACTGATATCATGTAGAGTAAGGCTGAACTGTAACAGAAATAGGGTTCTTAACATGCGCTATTATTTGTACCACATTACTGGTATTACGTACATTAGATAGTATTTTCATAAAACACTTTTTACAGGTATGGGTTAGATAGCCCATGCTATCTACATAGTTCTGCTTTAAGCAAAACCTTGAAGTACAACATATAGTAAAAAATGTGCAAAACCAGACTGCAGATATACAATGAACTTCAGAAAACCCTCATCATTTTATACAATGAATTTTTTAAGGTGCAGTATTAAGTCAATAGTAGCACAATGCCAAGTAGTACGCAATAACCCATAAAAACTCTCGGGTGCTTTTAAATTCTATTAAGATTAAAAACAACTCTGCTACCAGAGTTAAATGAAAAACTCAGTTACCACAAGTTACAAAGAAAGAAACGGCAGGGTCCTACAGAAGAGCTGGGAAGACCGCCAGTACTGCAGTTTAACACCCGTGTAGCATTGACATTCTGATCCCAAAGCCCTTCCTTGGAGACCAGAATTTAATGAGGTAGAATTAGATACTAACGCAGTACTCATATGACACAACAGGAAATAAAGGTATATCCAATACAGCAATCCTTGTTCTAGCTATTTATTTATTGAAAAAAGACTTTAAGTGTTCTAGCTGGTTATTTTTTTTAAAAAAGCAAAAGGGCCAATGCCCTATCCAGCACCATTCTAGTGTTACATATATCATATAAATGAATATCAGGAATAATACAATCACACAGTGTTTGAAGTGCATTCCTCCACCACAGGGCCTTTTGTCAGACTCAGGTTTAGAAATGATCTCTGGCACATGCACTGTCCTGGGTTAGGAAACCGCTCCAAACGCCAATGCTTTCAGGGTGGATCAAGAGCAGCACCGTCATCTTTTGTGAGATGGGCTACTGAGACAATCCAGGAAGACAGAGAAGCAGCAGTGATATCCATAATGGGAACAGTATGGCAGGACAACCTTACAGGACTCCTGTAACACTGGACTATAACACTAAATAATATATAAAAAGAAGAATGCCATTTTCTTACCTTATAGACGCTTTCCTGTATTCTTGCTTTTAATTTAGAACTCCCCGTTTTCATTCCAGACACCAAAATAGTATCTCCTTGCTTGGCAACCTTTTCCATCTCTGATATATAGGAAGGTGGAATGTAAGTGGATTCTAAGAACTTGAGTATACTGAAAGGTGAACCAAAAAAGGGAACAGAAAATTAACCAATCTTTGTAAACCCACAGAGAAACACCACCACCATCTATTCCCAGCTATTTCCATGTTTTAAGCAAATTTAAGATGTCTGCCTGGAACCAGATATCCAAATTTTACTCATTCTTGAAGATATCCACAGCTAATTTCTGTGACTGATAAAAGTTTGTTTGAAGCTTGCTTGTGGCCTTTAAAGAGATATCAGAAGACTGCACATGTTGTCTATAAGGATCCCTCCAGTTTTTACAGTAGGTGTAGACCACAAAAACTCTGTAGATTATTGTGGAACAACTGATGTGAAAGACCAAAAGCATATGTTCATAAAAGCAAAAGCTTAACAAACCAGAACATAGCTTTGACCTATATGAAGAAGTTAGCATGCATTAATTAATTACCATGAAAAAAAGTCTACAAGCAGAATACTTGCAGTAACTGTTAGAAATTCCAATGAGATGTGACAACAGAGAGGAAAGGAATTTGCCATGAATGGCAACAGTAAACAACAGGACAGAAATCGAAAGAGTACCATGTTTTAAAGGTTGCCAGCTTCTGTATGCAGGCCATCTGTTTGGCTTTATGTGCACTTTCACAGTAAAATCAGTAAAGCCATATTGAGAACAGTTCTGAATATTAATGTATTTGTGACAGTTTAAAATTTATCGTAACACCATTAGAACATTCTCATTTTATCATAGCTGTGCTAACAGCAGAGGACATATCAATTTTAGTTTGGTTAAAATCACATCTCTAGCAAATACTTACTCCCATCAAAAAGCTCCATACGCACTAGGACTCAGTGCTAACGATCAGCACACCGTCTGGCTCTCGCTGTAAACAGAGGCCATACGCTCACACCTGCAGCTTCAAGCATATGATGGGCTTAACAGGCTTTCCTCAGGTAATGCTGTGTGCTTGCTTCTCTGAATCGGAGTTTGTGTTCACCCAGTAGCAAAGAGTCTCGTTTGCTACTCCCACCCCATTTCCAATATATTTGGAATATAGGTTTGAGGATGGGAGGTAACTGTGAACTATTTTGCTCTCTCAGAGAACTCCTTTCTCCACATCCTATTCACAGAATCACCATGAGAATAAAGCCAGGTGCTTTAAAGTTTCCTACGCTAGTAGGAAGTTCCTATAGCTTCCTACCTTATTGTATGTCTCACAATCCACCTACATTTCACTGGAACCTGTTTTCTGAAGTAACTGGAGCCTCTGGTGCATGAGTTTGAGTCTGTTTCATCTTACAAGCTCACTATACGTTAGGGAAGTTCTGACTAAAGCTGTACTCAGGAAGTGACTGTAAACCGTTTTGTGAGAAAAACTCATGTTTCATGTGTTTGCAGTCTGGTCAAATTCACATGTATCAGGGAAGAATTTTTTCTACGAATATTCATACTGAGCAAAGCCAAGATCCACCATGGCATATGATACAATGAATACTAGCATAACACTGCAAGATAACAGGATCCTGGTGTGTTGACACCAGTTGCTGTCAATGCAAACATAAAACTCTTGGAGTCCAACCTGAAATATATCCCATGCAAGGTACTGCTAAGCAGCCGTCCATTCTGGTTAGTTTAACAAGGATGGAAACTAAAATTTCTGTTTGAAGCCACTGAAGAACAGAACAATGAGGTCACCACTGTAAAACTACATAGTGCACTTCCTTAATAAAAAGGAAATTAAAAAAACCCCACCAAAATGCCAAGGATGGTCTAGTGAGAAATACAGGAGGAAAAAATAACTTAAAAATAAAAAAAAAATCACTTGCAGAAATCCAAAAGTAAGTCTTACTGATCTTTCCTTTGCACAAGACACTTCAGGAAGACCAACAATTGCATCTATTTATTTCCAGTTGTTGGATTAGAACTACCTGTGCTGCTCATGAACACCATCAGCTGTTAAATTAAACAGATATGAGAGTGCCCAAGCTGTAGAATGGGCACTTAAAAAAACCCTGGAACAATTGACCCATTAGCATTCTTTTAGGTATCAGTTCAGTAGGCTGTCTAGATGTGGGAAAATACATACATCACATTTAATGGATGTGAGACTTTTGAGAACAAAGTCAATGAACTTACCGTAATGCGTTGTGGGAATCTGAGAAGCCATAAGCCTCTGTGTCCTTTACTATTGTCCAGTCAAAGACTAACCCTGCCAGTGTGCTGAAAGTGTTTCCTATAAATCAAATAATCAGATTAAAACAAGAACAAATAACAAGCATAGAGCCTTCCTGGGATACACACTATGACTTTTTCCTCTAGGAAACGTATTTAACTTATCCCTAAACAAGCGATTTTAAACTAAATAGCTATTGGCATTTGAAAAATCACAGTCTATCCTGCTTTGCTGACTTTGGCAAATTCAAGATATTTTTGTTAACTGGCTTTTCTGATGACATTTTCTAACACCATACGTCGCTTCGTGTTCTTCACAAAGCCCACTGGAGAGGTGCAGGTGTCACCATCTACCCTCCACTTGTCAGCCAGAACCTTGGCACTCACCACCTCCTTCCCCCTTCGACCACAATGACTTTACTATTACTTGGATAATAGCAGGACACCAAAAAAAAAAGAGGTGCAAGTGTCACCATCTACCCTCCACTTGTCAGCTCCTAAGAGAACCTTGGCACTCACCACCTCCTTCCCCCTTCGACCACAATGACTTTACTATTACTTGGATAATAGCAGGACACCAAAAAAAAAATCTGCTAAACAAATTTTCATTGTGGAACATGTGGATCTGAGATACCATTTGGGTAACTTGAGTTCACAGCACTGATGAAGTACACTTTTCACATTTACTGGTTTTGTTTGGATAACAACCATGATTGTACCCATGGCAGGAATAGGTCTTCACTCAACTCAAACTGAGCACCTTTCTTCTACAAAATTATGAACCACTACAACAGGAAAAACTGTAGGAAAAAGGAACAAAACTGAATAAACAGATCAAAAGCAGAGATTTATCATGACTACATTTAAGTGTAATGATCTGCTAAACTGAAACATCTCTTAATCTTCATAACGAGTCTTGTTTTGAATTGCAGCTGCCACTGGAACAAACAAATATGGAACTGAAATCCAAGAATTTACTATGTTTAAAAATACATTTTCATTTGTTTTCTTCCCTTTGACACTCACATTTATATTAATAAAGTAAGAATCAAAGCAAATTTATTCTCAAATTCTTATCCTTAAAGGTTTATGACATTTTTAAGCCACAAAAACACTTTAAGACAAGATAAAGCAACTCACAGTCTATGTTGTTCCTCCCATTTCTATACAACTTTCTGTAGTTAGTTCCAAATCCCAAATAAATAGGATTTTAAACATAAAACTCTGAACACACAGGGCAATATAATTACAATTGATTGAGACTGGGTTATTTAACATGCATTCAAGTCTAACTTTCTTTAATGATGCATGCTTCAGCTTTGCAAAGCTATATTACACTCTTCTGTTTTGCTCCAATTGTAAATAAGAGGGCCAGTGCAGAAACACACATTGTGGCACTAGAGAGGCGATGCCTGGACACAGCCAGCACCACAGCCAACAGGTAGCAAAAGCACAAAACCATTCTTACAGCTTCTGAGCCACCATTGGGCCAGGATGTCATGGCTCCTGCTGGGGTCCAGGTCATCAGAGAAAAACTATCATGGGTGTTCCCCAGGCAATGCATCGTTTCACTCGTTCAAGACAGGACCAGCCATGTCCACAGCACGAAGGGCAACAGTTGTCCCCAGGTTCAGGCAGCACCCAAGGTGGCAGACAGGCAATGCAGCACTTGTCATTAACTGCACTGTTCCTTGTCCCTCCCTGCAGGATCACACAGCTGTCACAGGAGCTGCAGACCAGCCGCCCTGGCCAGCTGTAACATTACCCTCCCAGGCTCCTCAGATGTCACTGCAGGCCTGACTGGTGCTCCTGTGTAACCCAGCCCAGAGCTGCTTCTTTGGGATGCTTCAGCAGAAAAGCAGCACTCACTGGCAAGGCTGGAGCAAACCCCAGTAAGCAAGGAGAGCTGCCTTCACGTGCTCTGCTCCACTGCTGAGCTCCACATTCAATTGTGTCACAAATAAAACCAGTGCACATACCAGACAATTAAGTTTCAAGGCAGATTTTATCTCGTGCTAGTATATCTCTTACCTTCAGAATCCAAAGCCTGAATTTTTAGCTCCAGTGGTGAATCTTCAAGATAGAGTTCTCTTGTTGTGGACACAATTTGGATGCCATGAATTATATCAACTATAGCATCACAACGAAGGACTTGTCCAGTCACTTGAAGAGACATCAGAAAGGGTGCATGAAATCAGCAACACTGGATGTGCTCATCAAGAGCACCAACAAGACAAAATCCACCTCAAATTTAAGCCAATGACACAGGACAGTGATATTAAAGGAACTGAAATTAGGTCATGACCTTGATTGAGAAACTCTCGGTCAAATGGTGACTGTGGCTAAACAAGCGAGAAAAGCAGCTCCCCTTCTTACTGAGCTTTAGAGTAAATCTTAATAATTTATGTTGCACAAGTACTCTAACAGTTACAGAAGAAACTCTTGATATGTACTCAGTGAAAACTACAGTGTAACTGTCAGACATGGCTCATGTCCTAGAGAACTTAATGACTTTTACCCAGAGCCCATAAACTTCTATGTAGACATTTACCTGACCATCTGTTTTTGCCTATCTGTCATTATAAAAACTAACCAGGTATATTGTATGGCAGACACAAAGGCAATTTCCAGCTCTCTAAATGCCAAATGTCTGAATTCGCTTTATATAAAAAGCATGTACTGAAAATTATTTTCAGCCGCCCCCACTCCCTTTTTTTTTTTTTAAATAACTACCCATTTTCCTGGATGTATTTGAGGCCTTTAACAAAGAGAACTTAAAAGCCATGCCCACGGAAAGTCTAAAATTACTACACATATGAATGGAAATGTCTTGGTTTGTGCACTTTTGAATCTCTGCATTGTTTCTGGATGATGCCAGGACGCCCATAAACAAGTAGTGGTGTGCTTACAAAAGTTAAAACTTACTTATATCTTCAGCAAAGATGATACTCGTCAGACGTGTAGGCTGTGAGGACCGTGCCTGGACAACAGCTTTTTGTGAACACTGGCGCTCATCTTGATCTGCTGGCTCTATGCTTGCAACCTCTGGCCTGGTGGAGGACCTACAAGGTTATTTCGTTGTGTTAGCAGGATTTCAGTTACCATTAGTCAGAAATCAAAGGTCTTCTTTAAAAGCCACAAAAATAATTTACATGAGACATTCTACATGGTCAACACCTGACTTCCATAAGAGCTGGATTTCAACAGTGCCTTGAGGACTTAAGCAAAAACAAGTGTGGGCTGAGGAAGGGGGAAAGCACAGACCAGAAACCCACCAGAGCCCAGGCAGGCAAAGGCAGCATTGCACGTTCACAGAATCACAGAATATCAGGAGTTGGAAGGGACAGTGAAAGCTCACCCAGCCCAACCCCTCTGCCAGAGCAGGATCACCCAGACAAGGTCTCACAGGAACACCTCCAGGCGGGTTTTGAATGTCTCCAGAGGAGACTCCACAACCTCTCTGGGCAGCCTGGGCCATGCTCTGGCACCCTTACAGTAAAGTTTTTCCTCACGTTCACATTCACTGCTGAATGCTGTTCAGGCAGTCCAGAGCTAGCCCCAACTACTTAACAAAGTTACAAAGCCTTCAGCCTGACTATTTACTAGCTTAGACATGCAGAAGCAGCAAAAACACAAATAGGACACTGAAGTAAAAGGTAAAAATACTTTCAAAGTTCCAGTCACCACTTGCAAATGGATTTTCAAAACAAGTTTGATACAAAGTTCTGAAAAAACTGGAAGTTTTCCCTGACAACAGAACATTACAACTATGGATATTTACTGTGGCAGAGGCTCTAAACAAGCAAGAAACAACACTTTTGAATCAAGAACTTTTTTTAATGGCTTTAGTCTGTTTAGCTGAAGTATGTAACATCGTGTAAAACATGCAAAGCTGTATAATCACCTTTAGTGAAACGTAAGCCTATGTGGAATTTTGACCTAAAACTTGATACATCTATTACTTCCTGCTCTGACTTCTTTGGCTTTTCTAAAGACAACTGCTCCTGGAATAAGCTCATGGGAATCTCACCATAGACAAGGAGCCCAGGTCTCAGTTCCTGTGTGCAATTAATGTCAAGATGGGGACAAAAAAAATTTTAAAGGTTACTAAAAACTGAAGCCTCTTGAAATTAAATTTGAGAAAGTAACAGTATTCATTCAAGGTCTGAATGTGTTCAAAGCAATTAAAATATTCAAGCAGGCCATGACTTTTGCAAACAGTTACAGAGTATCACCCCTCTGAACTGGGATGGCCTGCTGACTCTTTTGGAGAACTGGGATGAGCTGACTGACTATTTTGGAGAACTGGCTCACGGCTGTTCTACACAACTCCTTGCTCAAGCTACACCTGCAGGAGTAGCTGCAGAGCAACCAAAAGGCAGTCTGCTTGGACTTCAGCTCAGAGCCCAGCACCCTGCTTAAGCCACTAATGAATTCAGTGCCTTAAACAGCCGTGGCTGTTTGCTCAGGGATCCTGAGTCAAAGCTCTTTCACAAGGGACCTTTGAAGGATTAAAACAATGAAAGAAAGCCTTGATGACAAAGCCGTTCAGGAATTGCTTTTCTCAGATGATGACTGCAGTTCTGATGACAACACTTTATTACCTGGTAAATAAACCGGGTACTAGATCCTCACCCGATAAAGATGGTGAAGCTGGACTGATCCAGACTTTTCTTCTGGAGCATGTTCAAAACTAACTGCCTGTGATCTATGGGAAAAATCCTCTAACTCAGCAAGGAGCTGAAGGGGAGTTTTGACCAAACAGTGATACCAGACATGCCCTTCTCCCCAGACATAGGTTTTACCTACTTTTGCTACTAGCAGAAGCAACCAGTGTAAAACAGTGAAGAACCAAATTTCTCGTTAACTAAAATTTTAACCATTTCAAAAATATAACATACCACAATATGTTCAGTTATCTGAGTTAACAGCTGCAGTCCACGTGAACATGGACCAATTTGGTTACAATAACTGGAATAAAATTGCAGATCTTGTTTTCAACCTTCAGCAATGAAAAGTACAACTCTGAGTACAAATCCAGCATTGCAAGATGCCAAGATCTCTTTGGTTTGAAGCAGTTGGTAAGACACCAAACGTTGCATTTCTCACAGAAACTTCACATGAAAAAAAAACCCACATTTGTGTCAGCTCTCTGGTTCCTTACATATGGATCTGGATTTTAACACCACACTGTCCAATGAGGCCCCAAAAGTTTGTAAGGCAAAGGTACAAAACCCAGTGAGAACACTTTTAATTGCGCACGCTGATGGTGACACACAGATTCACTAGACATCGCATAGCAGAATGGTACTTTTGTCTTGGGCAAAATTTATTAATTCAATGAATTATTAATTCATAATAATGGTGCACTCCCAACAATATCTTGCCTACACAAAGACAAGTTTTAAGGGATTTTGGAAAAAAACAGGAATTGCTGTTGCAGTAGCAACTGCTAACCCAGAAATTTCAAAGTATTTCATCTATCAAGGTTAAAACAACTCACAGCAGTATGCAATGGACAATTTAAATCCCAATTAAACCTGAAAATTGTCTGTTACATACTAGATACCTAAGTAATATACACAAACATGAACATATTTTTTATAGCAGGGTTTACACGTTTCTAAAAGAATATATTTTCTCTATCAGTAGTACATTTAATTTCGCTATACGGAGATAATAATTTAAGACTGAACAATGAGTTATTCTCCTCTTATTCTGTAGCTTCTTAGGCAATTGTGAAGCAGTTTTCCAACATTTAGCAAGCTTCTTTAAACAACATTAGCATTCACAACCAAGAAGGCTTTTTCTGTTCTTGGCTGGTAGGTTTTTTTAAGCGAAGCATGAGGATCTGACTTAATATGCATGCAGGCATTTTAAAATAAGCATATGTATGGAACTAACTATTATTTTTATTATTTAGTTCTTCAGGGTGTTTATTATTCTCTGCCATTACATTTTTTTTTATTAATTTAAGGGTTTTGCATTCTGACAGTCTGAAACTGACTGTGTTTACAACACAACAGGGGTTTCACTGTGTTTTGTATTTGTTCTTTTAATATATAGTTAGGCATTGTAGTACATAACCACTACAGTTTGCACTAACAGCAGTGTTGAAAAACTAAATCTAATGGCAGGGTATTTTTTTGACTAGAGAAAGAAAGGAACAAAGATAAACTAAAAGTCTGCACTAAATTTTAGCTGTAAATTTACACACACTCCAAAATTATAAAGTGACTTCTAAGCTTTCACAACTGTATGTCAGTTAACTCGTAGTTGTCACTGGACCCTGATCTTAGATACTATTTGGTCTCTGGCAGTAGTTTAAAATAGGAGGTAGAGTATCAGCTGAATTTCTTCTTACATACAAATACATTTTTAGTTTTATTACCAATAGGATGTCTGTTATTTTAGGCAATTACCTGAACTGGGCAGGTGAAGTAGGGCCTCTCTGAGGCTTGGTTTACTGTTGTGATTTGTCTTTAAAAAAAACAATCTGCATGACTACTGTTTTTTACACCACAATATATGAAATATTCGATGACCTCAATATCGAAAGCTCATTCTGTTTACAACTACATCCAATTCAGGGTCAAGTAGAGAAAGGATAAGGCACCAATCAAATAGGCTGTAAATTACAGTGGCATTACTCTGTCAGAATACACACAGGGATCACTACTGCATCCTAGACGGAAAAGAAATTTCTGCTTTAAAATGACATCAAAGAGCGCAGGTCATATCATCTTCCAAATGCTGCTGATCTTCAGCAGCACGTCAGTGTGTGATATTGAGAGCTGGGCTTGTCAGAGGTCAAAATTAGATCCTGAGAAGCAAGCAACGGGAAGCATTTCTGGCACTAGCTCTTGATCCCATACCAGCGTCTCTAAGAAAGAACAAGGCAGGGGAGGAAGCACTAGAAAGAAGAGTGGGGAGGTGAGGGGAAAAAAGCTACATTTAGCTTATATATCCCAATATTTATTTCCCTCAGAATAAAATCCAACATGCAGAAGAATTAATGACACCTGCAATAAAGACCACCAGTCCTCTTGCTGATCTCCATTTCATTTATGATTTTCATGCCCCCCAAGACACAGAACTGTGTGCCAAGATTGTATCTACAGATCCACCCAAACCTATCCCTGCACTTTTTAAATCGACTGGTCTGTAATACCACAG